AGAGTGGGAGGGAGGTATAGAGTGAGCAGTGCTGCCACCTTCGTTGTCGCTGTGTGCGTATGTGGGAGAGTGAAAGCTCGCACTTAAAGAGCGCAGTGAGCTGAGCACCAGAGCATTTCAGTTTTTTTTTTTTTTTTTTTTTTTTTTTTTTTTTTTTTTTTTTTTGAGACTTTGTATATGAATTTATAGTAAAAAATAAGTTTAATTTATGTAAAAAAAAAAATAACAAATATGAGTAATAATTTTTCTGCATTTTTGTTTAGCAACAACTGATGAAAACAATAACACTCTCGCGCGCACACACACACAGACATACATAAAGCACAGACAGTCATCTAAGAGAACAACAGCACATTCAAAGCGGCCTTGTCGTCTCGATGTGTCGCTGCCTCTCTTTGACTACTTATTTATTTATTCAATTTTAAAGTTTTAATTTTTTTATTCTTTTAATTGATTTTATTTTGCTACCTTTTTAGTTTTCTTAATAATTTTGCAGATTTTTCTATATTCTTTATTACATATCTGGCATTTATTTGTCAGTTGTAAGCGACGTATGTGTGTGAGTGTGACTGCGTGTGTGTGTTTATATATGTTTTTTATATTTCTTATGGCTGCCAAAACTGCCTGCGTTCCTGCATATGTAGCGTATACGTAATATACAATTGTGCGACCCAGCTTGAAGGCATCACACAGTCACACATACATAGGCGCATGTCTATGCATGAATGTGTGTGCATATACTCGCAACACACACACATGCATACCCACATATAAAGCGAGCTGTTTGCATGGGGGGTTACGTATACGCCGCGTGGTCGCCGACAATTTTTCGTTGTTTGTTGTCTACTTTAGCTAAAGCTCGAGAAAATTCTAAACTACATGTAAACGTGTGTATGTGTGTGTGAGTAAAAAGTAAACACAATTAAAACACAATTAGACTAGATAAATACCTTATTAAAAGTGTATGTACAAAAAAAGAACAAACAAAAAATAACTTTTTAATATTATTATTAATAAAATAAGTATGCATTTTATAAATGTGTTTAATTTTCTTGAAATTAATCATATTCTATTAGTTGTCCTCTTTTATTCATTTAATTTCGATCATTTTTGTTTATATTTCACCAACACGTACGCACACACTCATACTCACACACATACACGTAGACAAGTACAGTACAACAGTTTGGGAATGGGAGAGCGAGAGCGTATGTCGTTGGACGCCATTAAAAGCTCTCAAAAAATGCTTGGCCAGCTGTTGTTGTTGAAAATGTTGTTTTTGTTGTTGGCGGCGTCGTTGGCGGCGCTGCCGGAAATATGYAAAGCTCACTCTGCGCCTAGCGTGCGCGCTCTTTCTCTTCATTTCGCTCTCTTTGAATTGATTACGTGAACTGTTTTGCTATTTGTTATTATTTATATAGAGAGCGATCGAAATGGCAATAGATGAACGGACGCAACAACAAAGCAGCAAAGTGTTGCGCCTGTTCTCACGTCCTACTGTTCCTCATCTTAATTCTCCCTCTTCCGCATCTTCCTCTTTTGTTATTATTATTATTATTATCCATTAATATGTGCTTGTCATTGTGATAAACCCGTAGCCGACGACGGCCACCGTACCCACCCCTTCGGCTGATTGTCTCACGTTTTTTTTTTTATTTTTATTTTTTCATTCTTTCGATTTAATGTGGAATATTTAAAGAGGAAGCAGTTCATTTACGCTTATCCCTTAAAGCAAATGGTACTTAATAGTGTTTGTGGTCTTTCTGTGATTAGCATGCGGTTAAAGTTCTTGTTTATAAATACAATAAATGTAAACGTACATACATATGTATATATACATATATTTATGTGTATGAATCATCTGCACAAATATAAAGCGCGTTTTATAAGCAACAGCAGCAGCAGTAGGTACAGTTTAACCAATCGTATTTTACACTTTTATGGTGTTGGTGGTGCTGCTGCTGCTTCTTCCCATTAACAATAATAATAACAAGAAGAACTAAATAATAATAGAAACACCAAGAACAGCGCAGCAGTTGCAATAAAAGCAGCATAGAGAGGTCCATAGGTCACAACAGAAAGCAAACAACCGGCAGGCAGCGCTGCAGCAGCAGCAGTGCCAGCAGCAGCAGTTGACGTTTCTAGAACGAAAAACTGACAACTGACGCGCGGTTACGGCGTCGGCAGCAAAGCGCAAAAGCTACGTCTACAACGGCTCAAAATGACGCCGCTCTTCGTTCATTTCATTGCGGCGCTCTTTCATACGCACTCTCTTGTATTTGAACGAGCTGAGCTTGAAAAACTGCGCCGTTGAAAAATAAACAAAAACACAATGCAAAAGCAGATAAACAGAGAGCCTGAGAGGCAGAGACAGAGCGAGTGAAAGAGTGGCTAACAAAGAGCTGCCGTTTCTTTATGTTTTTGGCACACGTCACAGCTGCGGCTCAATTTGAGCTTGCAATATGTGTGTATATGTATATATGTGCGTGTTTGTGTACAAATTGCAATATTATAACAAGCGTATAATGTTAGTGTATATATGTATGTGTCTTTTCTTTTAGCTAATTAGGTAAACACACATAAACACACACGAACACACTCAAACATTGCTATAGGGAGAGCCAGCGTAACCAAAACCACGTTGTCGTTTGCCCAAACGCTGACATCGGCGTCGCGACGTAGCGCTTCTCTCTCGCGCGACGCTACTGTGCAAATTAACGTTGTTGCTGTATTTTGTTTATAAAAAGTTGCCAAGACAACGGACGGAAACTTTCAAAATTGCGTCGCAAGCTTTATTTTCTAGTTTGTTTGTGTTTTCGCAGCGAACAGTCTTCCAGCAGCACGAATTACAACAACAATAACAAGAACAACAGCTGTAAAGAGCTGCTCCGCTATGTGCGTCCATTATTTTGGCATGCGACTGTAAAGAGCGACTATTGTCTGTGGCGCTTAGACTGTTGTTGTCGTCGTCGTCGTCGTCGTCGTCATCGTCGTCTTTGTTGTTGTTGAGCTTTTGCTTTTGCATTGCTGTCCGTTTCGCGTATCGTTTGTTTTGACTCGCCGTCTTTGTTGTGGCGCGCTCGTTTCACTGTTCTTTTGTTGTTGTTGTCACAGTAAATTGTTGTTGGTGAGCAATAAAAATCAATAAATAATACACTTACAGTGCTGTCCCTTATGGGCATCGCAATGCACACACATGTGTTGCTATTTATTTAATTAATCTGCTCCAAGCGTTGCGAGTGCATACATAGATACACTTGCCTGTGTGCTTAACTGTACCGCATTTCATTGAAATACCAAAATTATGAATTAGTCATTAATTCAATATCCTTTTGATATTGCCTCGCTCACTCGCTCGCAGTTGGAACAACAGAAATTACTGTTATGGCTATAAGTTGAATGCGAAATGCTGATAAGATAATTCAACAGTAAACACACGCAGACATCCAATGAGAGAGGAGATGAAGAGCGTAAATAACAACAACCACAACAACCACAACAACAACAGCAACAACACGCACACGAGCAATAGTTGAACAAAAAAACCGAAACACGAAAAATAAAATGAAATAATATAAATACAATTTCAAGTAGCAGGTGAACGCAAGCTGCGCTGCCGACGTCGCGTCGCGTCGCAGCCACTCATCAAGCCATAAAAACGGCGAAAACTACACGCGTAAATTAGAAGCAATAAAAAAGTGCTGTTGGAAAATAAAAATAATGCAAAAAGCAACGCACAAATAGAAACAAATACAAACAAATACACACACACACACATGCACAAATACATACGCAAAATGGCGGCCCGGGCGGCTGGTGATGATTGCGTAAAGCGTTTAGCATTTAACTTAAAAATGTGGCCACTGTTCAAAACACGCAAAGGAGAGAGGCACCGCAAAGCGGGTGTGTATGTGTGTGTGTAAGAGAGAGAGAGAGAGAGAGAGAGACAGAGGGAGCGAGAATGTGTGTGTGATACTTGCGGTAATATTACTTATTATTGGCGGAGCACAGTGGGCACAGATTGCCCATTGCGGTATGCAATAAAAACAAACTGAAGGACGCCGATGAAATAATAATAATAAACAAAAATGACGAAGAAGAAGAAGCACAAAACTAAAGCATGTACCTATTTGATTAACTGATTTGATACGCCAGCGTTAATTGGTAAATAACACTTGATTAGCAGCTCAAGTTTTCGGTTTTAAATTGTTGTTTAGATGCATTCACGTTCGACCACTGCAGATCTGAACATGTTGATTGCTATATATGTATGTGTGTATATCGATATACACATACATATACATAGATATGAGGCGCGACAGAGAAATAGTAATGCGTCGAAGCATATATTAGTGGAAATAAAACTTGATAAACTTAATACATATTATATTCGATTATCATATATTGTTTATTATTTAGATGTTGATATTGAGTTTATAAGGAAGTGTGCCTGGAGTAAAATAAAATAGTAGTGATAGTAGGACTGTTGGACAAAAAAAACGGAGTTATAAACAATTTGAAACAAAAACTAATATTAATTATTGATAAATAAATTGTTATTATATGTCGATATTTTATAATTAGGTAAATGCATTTTTTTATACAATCAATCGCACTACTAAAGTTTCTTATATTAGGTTGATGGCATATTTTACGAAAGAAAATGAAAAGAAAAAGCGTTCCATTAGAATTTGATTAGGTCTTGCTTAGATATATCTTTGCAGATCTATGATATGAGATATAATACCCTAATCAAATCTATAAATAAATTCTCCCTATTGCGCATCATAATAATTGAAGATGTTATAAGTGATGTATGTATAATAAATATATCTAATATATACGCATTATATTTATTTTTAATACTTTTGCTATCATTATATTGTGTATATAATGATATAGGAACTATAGTTATATGTCGGCTTTAGCTTTAGTTAAAGATTTAACTTTGTTCACATGAAATCTAATCAAGTCCCTTTCGGATCTCGTTTCTCCGGCAGCATGTCAACAGATAATCCCACACAGCTGCTAACGACGCACGATTTGAGCCACTTGCGAGGCCAACTACAGACGGCGGCAGCAACCAGCGCCGTGGTGGCAGCAGCAGCAGCTGCTGCACACGGATACCACAGCGTGGCAGGCACAGCGGCCGCAGCGCCGCCAACAAACGGACACGGACACGGACACGGGCACGGGCTGGGACTTGGATTGGGACTGGGTGTGGGACACGGACACGGACACGGACACGCCCACAGCCATAGCCATAGTCACACGCACGGTCACGCCCACATGAATTCGAACTCAAAGTACCTGCTGCTGCGGCACAATGGCGGCAGCTTTACCGCCTACGAGAATGCCACGCAGGCGGGCAATGCGTCAGCGGCGGCAGCAGCAGCAGCTGCTGCTGCTGGCAATATTGTGGTGCTGGCCACGGAGCCGTTGGAGCTGAGTGCGGCGGATGCTTTGGGCGCGCCCGGTGCGCCGGCCGATGATGATGAGCTGCGTCCTTTGTCCTGGCTGAATGAGAGCAATCTGATCAAAGGTATTGGGACCACACCGGCAACAACAACAACAGCAGCAACAACGGCAGTGAAACGCAGTGTTGCTGCCGTGGCGCTGAAATCGTCGCCAACAACAACAGCAACAGCGACCACAACAACAACAGCAGGAGGAGGAGGCGGAGGCGGAGGCGGAGGCGGAGGCGGAGGTGGAGGTGGAGGTGGTGGTGGTGGTGCAACAGCTGCCACCGCCGAGCCGTACAACATTTGCCTAGTGAACGACATAATCGAGGAGCTGTCGCATAGCGATGCCATCGAATCGCAGTCACCACCCGCCGTCTACAGCACCACAACGGTGCACAAGGGACCCAGCGGCACCACCACCGTGGTGGAGTACAAAGCGGCCAGCAGCAAACCGAATGCTACAGCAGCGGGAGCAACAGTCACAGCTGCCTTCATGCCGCGTGTTGCTGGCAACAGCTTCATGCCGGCAGCAACAGTTGCCGCTGTCAAGCAGCAGCAGCAGCAGCCGCAGATCTTTGTCAGCAGCAATGGCACGACTCCAACGGCTAGCTACAAGTCCAGTGGCAACACCACAACGCATCATCCGCACAAGAAATATCTGCGTGAGAAGATGAATGTGCATGTGGATCACAACAGCAACAACAACAACAGCAACAGCAACAGCAACATCACCACTAGCACCACCGTCGTCAGCAACAACAATATCAGCCATGTGGTGGCTTCAACGGTCACGGTGGTCAGCTCGCCCGCCTCCTCAAACAACTCGACGCTCAGCTCATGCTCCGCCTCGGGCTCCTCGACGGCGGCCGTCAATGGGGGCAACAGTCCAGTGCCGAAGTCGAACAGCTTCAATGCAGTATTCGATGCCGTCAACTACTCAGCGCCCAATAGCAGCAGCAGCAACAGCAGCAGCCACAACAACAACAACAGTAACACCACCACCACCACCGCCACAGCCACCGTCGCCAGCAATAGCAACAACACCAGCGAACAACAACAACAACAACACACAACACCACCAACGGTGGTTAGCACCACAACGTTGCCGCCCGGCTACAGTTTTGTTACCGCTCCACATGTTATGTAAGTGATAGATGTCAATTAGCGCTGGGAGAGAGAGAGAGAGATGTATATATAGAGAAGGAGGCGGAGAGAGAATGGCGGAGGAGACAGAGGCAGAGATAGAGACATAGATGTAGAGAGAACGACAGATAGTGGGCTATACAGCTGAAAAGAGAGATGGAGATGGAGAGGGAGCTATAGAGTGAAATAGAGAGTGAGATAGAGAGGAAGATAGAACAGGGAGAGAGAGAGAGGGATAGACAGTAGGGAAGATAGAGAGAGAGAGAGGGGGAAGAGAGAGATAGAAAGATATAGTGAGAGAAAGATAAATATGGAGGGAGGGCGATAGACAGACAGAGGGAGATGGAAAGCGACGGAGATAGAGCCAGAGAAAGGGAGAAAGATAGATAGAGAGGAAGATGTATAGAGAGAGGAAGATGTATATAGAGAGGAAGATGTATAGAGAGAAGAATATGTATATATATATAGTGTGAGAGAGAGAGAGTGAGAGGGAGATAGATAGGGAGGGAAGTATATATAAGATTGAGAGCGAGGGAGATAGAGCCAGAGAAAGGGAGAAAGATAGATAGAGAGATAGAGAAAGGGAGAAAGATAGATAGAGAGATAGAGAAAGGGAGAAAGATAGATAGAGAGGGAGATGCATAGAGAGAAGAATGTATATATGTAGGGATAGGGAGAGTGAGAGGGAGATAGATAGAGAGGGAAATAAATGTGAAGGAGATAGAGAGAAAGAAGCTACAGAAGAGATATATAGAAGCAGAAAATGAGATATTTAAGCAGAGAAACCTGCAGCTCATTTCAAATTCTATTTGATGGGTTATTTCATAAGAGTGGTCTTCTGTCTCCCTCACTGCTTCAGTAACGGTTAGACACGTTTACTTGCTTCCCAATTCGCATCTTCAGTTCAGACCGTGTCTCACCCAAAGAGAAGAGAAAGGAGCGAAGAGAAAGGCTTTTCTTTCGATTACTCACTTGCTTACATTCTAAAAGAGTTGCAAACAGTTGGAAATTAGGCTAGATAGAGATGATGAGGCATTCCCGTTCACTAACCCTTGCTTTCCCCTTTCCCTTCTCTTTCTCCCTCTCTCTCTTTCTCCCATAAAATATTTGTATATGATTTACATTATAATTGGTATATTCTGATTATTGAACGCTTGCCTTGCTCTTTTGATGCAGCTCACAACAACCCGCCAATATTTCCTCACCGGAGACGCCGCCAGGTGCGGCTCTGTTGCCACCTGGCACCTACTACAGTGCGGTGCAGCCGCGCACGGGTGTGTTGCAGTTGTCGGTGACGCCACCGCCGCCATCGATGACGCCGACGGCGGTGCACAATGGTTCTGGTTCCGGGCCCGGGCCCGGTTCCGGTTCCGTTTCGGCTGGTTCCGCTTCCGGCATTGCCAATCTGCGCAGCCCCAACAGCTATGCCAGCTACGAGAACGAGGACTCGCTCAAGGAGTTCGACATCAGCCTGGGCAGCGGGGCGCGTATCCACACGAGCACGCCCCAATATCAATCAATGTCCAAAAATAGCAATAATAATAACAACAATAACAATAGCAACAACAATCCATCCGCATATGGCAACAACAACAACAACAATAGCAACAGCAACACACCCCAAAAGCAGAAGCATCCCAACAATGTGCCATATGATCCGTACGTGCATACCAACAATAAGCCGCCATATAGTTTTAGGTAAGTTTGGCAGTCTGGAAGTTGTTCAATTGAACAAGTTCATCAAGTGAAGGACATTGTTAGATGGTTTTCTGCATTGATATTAAATCGATAACGAAACCCAAAACGAAGCTCTTCAATTGCCTATCTTTTATAATATCTTTTATATATGTACGTCTTGCAGTTCCTTGATCTTTATGGCCATTGAGGACTCGAATGAGAAGGCTCTGCCCGTTAAAGAGATTTATGCGTGGATCGTGCAGCATTTTCCCTACTTCAAGTCAGCGCCGAACGGCTGGAAGAACAGCGTCCGTCACAATCTCTCGCTGAACAAGAGTTTCGTCAAGGTGGAGAAGGCGCCCAATATGGGCAAGGGCTCGCTGTGGCGCGTCGAGCCCCAGCAGCGACCAAATCTCATGCAGGCGCTCAATCGTTCGCCCTACTTCCCCAACTCGGCCGTCGACAAGATAAGTCCAATGCTCAAGAGTCCCAATGCGGGCAATGCTGGCATTGGCAATGGTAACGGCAACGGTAACGGTAATGGTAACGGCGCAGGCAATGGCGCTGGCAGCATTGCTAGCTACGATAGCTTGGATGGCACTGCGAGTGGGCCAGCGGCGTCTGCTACGCCCGCCAAGAACGGCATTGTCGGCCATGCTGTCACGTCGAATGGGGGCGCGGCTGGAACGCCTACTACAACGGGCGGCGGCAATCATCCTCGCTTCGATCCGAAGCTATTTCCCAATCTGTCCAAGGCATTTCGCAATATCGAGGAGCCGCAGTATATGCCGGCCGATGCTGTGGAAGAAGAGCTGCCGGGCGACTATGTGTCCAATACCAGTAGCAGCAACAACAACAACAACAATAATAATAATAACAACAACAACAACAACAACAAGTACAACTATGCGAATGGAACTGGTAATGTGACAGTGGCAGCAACGGCTGGACCTGGAGCTGGAGCTGCAGCTGGAGCTGGTACCGTTTGTGCCTTAAACTTCGAGCGGCTGGCACGGGACTGCGGCGCCGATAGCATCGATGATGTCCATGCGGCAGCGGCGATGCTGTTCCTAAAGCACGGCTCGAAGGCCTTTCTCGAAAGCTTTCAGAACGGGTAAGACGAGTTTGATTAATGGGACAGTAAGAGCTGCATCTAATCAGAGGATTACTCTACTCTCTCCTCCGGTCTTGTAGCGCTCCAGTGATAACTAGTTCTCCCAGCGAGGATCACACCTATTCGGCGGGCGGCAACAGCAATGCGGATAGCGGCGCTTCCACGCCCTTGATCAATGGCACTGGCAATGGCCCAAATGCACAGCAGACGCAGCCGAGTGTTGGCCATGGCGGCGACAGCAATTGCGCCAGCTCTGATGCGGCCTACGACAGCAGCGAGGAGAAGTAAGAGTCGATTGGCACGTGGTATATAAATATAAGCTTAACCATTCTTTCCTTCTGCATTATCTGTGCTCAGTCATAATATTACGCCCGAGGAGCTGGCCGATCAGCAGCGTCATCGTGACGGCGTGGACGCTCTGCTCTCGCTGTCGCGCTCATCGATAGTGGAGTGCGGCTCGTCGACGACCACAAGCCACTATCACAGCAACGGCAGCAGCGGCAGCAGCCACGGCTCGCCGCACAAGCGTGCCTCCAGCCGCAGCATCGAGGAGGAGAAATGGCAGCATCTCGACCTGCAATATCAGCAGCAGCAGCAGCCGCATACCAATGCCGTCTACACGAATGGCAGCGGCAGCAAAATGGCATTGCTCAGCAGTGCTGCGGCCAATGTGGCTGCTGCCGGCGCACTTGCCCAACAACAGCAGCAGCAGCAGCAGCAGCAACAGCAGCAACAACAGCAGCAGCAGCAGCAGCAGCGGCCCCTCTACGATGAGCTGTACAGTGCGAACGTGGTGACGGGCAGCAATGCGTCTTCCAATTTGTATTGGAGCGGCGGAGGTGCTGCGCCTGGGAATGGGCCATCGATGCTATCGATAAGCGCCGCCATGGTCAACACCGTGCCAGCCAAGAGCAAAGCCAAGCCGCTGCGTGGTGTGCGCACCAAGAGCAAGCGAAAGTCCAACTGGATGCGGTGAATATGGCGCAAAGCTGGCGGCAGACACTAGAGGCATCTATGTATATGCACATATATATAGCTATGTTCTCTCTCTGTCTGCTGAACTGGCACACAAATACCACACACACACACACACACACACACAAACAAGTACCCTCACCATGCTGCTCGCACCATTTGTTGTCTCTTTCTAAAGCGATTTCTGTACAATGCGTAGCATTTAGTCAAATGTTTTCATGGTTCCAATCCAATTTAAACTATAATATTTACCCATTCTCTGTGTTT